TCCGTCGTCGTCGTCGTCGTCGTCGTCGTCGTCGTCGTCGTCGTCGTCGTCGTCGTCGTCGTCGTCGTCGTCAACGTCGCCGCCGCCGCCGCCGCCGCCGCTGCCGCGGCAAAACCCCCCCCTCCCTTGACGCTTTTCTGGTGGAGTCGACGTCGTCGTCGTCGTCGTCGTCGTCGTCGTCGTCGTCGTCGTCGTCGTCGCTCTCATTCTCCTCAGGATGCCTCAGCTCTGGGAACTTCGTGGCGAAAAAGTCCTGCAACGCCGCGCGCGCCGCCCTTGCGGTGCTGTCGTCGGTGTTGCTGCAGCTGCCGTTGGCCTGCATGGCCGCGCAGTACGAGAACCCAACCCCGCCGGGGCTCTCGAGGACGAGCACGTTGGCCTCCGGACGCGCCGAGGAGGGGGGCCCAGGAAGAGATGGGGGGGGCCGTCGTCCTGTGCTGTCGAGGGCGCAAGACTGTCAAAGTGCACCGCGCAGCACTACCCCCGTGATTGGAGGTCCCAGCTCGCCTGGCCAGCATGCGAAGTCTCGCGACCTGTGCCTCGTGAGCGGGATCGGGGACCTCCAACCGGGCAGCCTGGAAGGCAGGAGCGCCCGGGGGGGGGGGTCAGCGCAGACGCACCCTGGCCCGCTGCATGTGCACGGACGAAGGGGGGGTCCTCCTCCTCCTCCTCCTCCTCCTCCTCCTCCTCCTCCTCCTCCTCCTCCTGGGGGGGAGAGGGGGCCAAGGGGCGCGCTGAAAGACTGGGGGGGGGGCCATGCCACCCGGGAGACTTCATTTCGTCAGCAAGCGCACCCTCTGGAGAGGGGGAGGGGGAGGGGAAAGGGTGAGGCGCTACGCTCATTCTGCCGATCCACTCGTCACTCTGTCCACCGCGGGCTTCAGGAATGGAGCATGGAGCGATACGAGTTGACCCCAAGAACGTATCAGCGCCATGGGGGGGGGAGGAGGAGGAGGAGGAGGAGGAGGAGGAGGAGGCGGAGGATGAGGGATGGAGGAGGAGGTAGGAGGAAGAGGAGGAGGGGGAGGAGGAGGAGGAGGAGGAGGAGGAGGAGGAGGAGGAGGAGGAGGGAGGAGGAGGTATGGGGAGGAGGAGGAGGAGGAGGGAGGAGGAGGAGGAGGAAAACACATCTTAAGAGACCCACTCTTCAGCACGGGTCCGCCGGCAGTCTCCCTGGCACCTGGCCCTCGCCCCCCTCCCGACCCGGGCGCCACTCCCCCAGCCTGCCCGAGCGCTGCTCCGCCATCGCCGGCAGAGGCACCGCAAGGACCCCGGGGTGGGCCCGTGGGCCAGGCCGCGACCGGATCGGGACGTCGGGGTCGCCGAGCGCGCTACACACTCTGCAGGAGATGGCCTAGCTACTTCCAGATTTCGTAATAAAAGGGAGGGGGTCTGGACCCTCAAGGACAAGCCATTTCAGACCTCCCCCGTGGGAGAACCCTCCAAAACATCGTCCCCAGACCCCCCAGGCCCTCCAAGATAGCCTGGAAGAGACCCCCCCGAAATGAGACCCCTCCTTTATTACGAAATCTGGAGAGGTACTCGCAGGACGTCAGAAAGCACATGTGTGCCTCGGTGTGTAGAGGGCGGAGCGTCCACCCCGATAACCACCCCGACACGCGAAGCCGTTTAGCAAACGCACCCAAAGAAGAAGGAATCAAACAGGGCAGGGCTGTTTAGTGAACGCCCAGGACCTTTTAGTAAACGCCACTTGTCTGGTCTGCCCTTGATGGATCGTGCGGCAGAGGGACACAATTAGCGGACACTCCCCCTCCCCCCCACACTCAGAGTTGGCACGCGCGGGGGAGACTGCGGTCGAAGTGCAACTCATTCAGCCCACCGCCAACTTTGACCATTGGGGGGGGCATTGACAGATGAATGTGGCATGAATGTTCGCAAATCTCTTCCGAGGCCTGTAAGTACCCCGCGGCGGATCCGGGCCATTTGCGAGCAGTTTTGCGAGTGGTGGAGCGCGCTTGTCTATGGGGGTGGAGGGGAAACGCCGTGGCCGGCTTCGGGGCTAGAGCTGGAGCAGCTGGGGGCCCACGTTCAAAGCGCGCCACCATCTACAGTCAACCCGTAGAATAGGGGTGCGTGGTGAGGATGCGAGGGCCTTGGAGGGCCATGTTAACGGTTTCCGAGCGAACTGGCCAGCGAAAGTCGCCAAGGATGGGCCGAAGGGGTAAGGCTGCAGGTTGGCCTGGGGAAGCTGCTCATGCTTCCACTACGGGTTGACTGCAATGATGCCCCCCCCGCCGACACGCCCGTGCTTCCGTCACGGAGGCCCCCGCCTCGTGCACGCGCACTGCGACAACCGCGCCGCACCTCCCGCGCCCCCCCCCCACCGCCGACGCGGCGCCCGTGCTTCCGTCGCGCACGTTCACGCCTCGTCCACGCGCACTGCGACAACCCGCGCCGCACCTCCCGCCCCCCCCCCGCCGACGCGCCCGTGCTCTCGTCGCGGAGGTTCCCGCCTCGTCTGCGCGCACTGCGACAACCCGCGCCGCACCTCCCGCGCCCCCCCGCCGACGCGCCCGTGCTCTCGCCGCGGAGGCTCCCGCCCCGTCTGCGCGTGCTGCGGGCGCCGTGCCCCAACTCTCGTGCTACCCCCCCGCTGGGGCGCCGCGGCCCTTCGGTCTGGGGTCTCGGCTGGAGGCCGCTGGGGCCCTGCGACACCCGCGCCGCATCTCTCGCAACCCTCCCCCTCGCTCATCAGAGGAGGGACGGGGGCCACCGCCACCGAGAACCCGCTCGAGGGGAAGCCGGCCCCCGGGCGGTGGCGCGCCCGAGCGTCATCCAGGACTGGACGACGCTCGCGCGTTGCCACCGCCCAGGGGTGGGCCCCTCGATGGGTTCTTGGTGGCGGTGGTCTCTGTTTCTCTCCTCCGAGCTCACGCACTCGTGCTCTCGTCGTAGGAGGCTCCTGCTTCGTCCACGCGTACGGGTTGCGCATCAGGCCGCCCGTGCTGTTGATCAGGAGCGGGCCCATCTCCATGAGCATGCCCAGGATCGAGCTGCTGCCCGGTCCGCCGTTCAGCCACAGCACGAGAGGCAGCCTCATCGGGGTGGTCGGGGGGCATGCGCGCGCGAACACACACGATGGCGGGCATGTGCGCGCACGAGTTTGTTTGTTCCGGAGCCCTCAGGCTCGAACCCGCTCAGTACAGCGAGGGCACAGTGGGGGTCGTACGAAGTCCCCGCCGAGCTCGCACAAATCACTGCCCGATACTTTGGTAAACCATTGGTGGCGAACATCCTCATCACCACGAACATCACCATCACCATCACCATCACCATCACCATCACCATCACCGTCACCGTCACCATTACCATCATCATCATGATAATGATCATGATCATGATCATGACCATCATCACCATCACCATCACCATTACCATCACCATCACCATCACCATCATCATCATCATCATCATCATCATCATCATCATCATCATCATCATGACCATCATCATCATCAGCATCACCATCCCCATCCCCATCATCACCACCGTCATCATTATCACCATCGCCATCAGCATCAATGTCCACATCATCGAGATCACTATCACTATCACCCTCACCGTAAGCACCAACATCATTATCATCACCATCGCCATCACCATCAACACCATCATCACCATCATGATCACGACCACCGTCATTACCATCACCATCACCATCATCATCAACATCATCGGCACCATCACCACCATTGGCAGCACCATCACCAGTACCATCACCATCATGACCGTCATCACCATCACCATCACCATCGGCATCAGCATCAGCATCATCATCATCACCATCAGCATCACCATCAACATCCTAATCATCATCACGAACAGGTCTTGGTCACCCTGATTATCCTGATCATCCTGGCCGTCCTCCTCATCATTCTCATCATCCTTATCATGCCAAACCAACATGCTCATCAGCATCCCCATCCGCAACATCATCATCATCATCAACCTCACCACATCACCGTCACCATCGTACTTATCATCATCATCACCATCACCATCACAATCACTATCACCATCATTATCATTATCATGGCCATCAGCATCATCCTCACCATCTCACCATCACCATCATCACCACCATCATCGCTATTACCACCACAATCATCATCACCACCGTCATCGTCATCACCATCACCATCAGCATCATCATCACCATCACCATCACCATCGCCACTATCACCTTCAAGGTCAGCACCAGCATCATCATTATCAGCAACATCACCATCACCAGCACCACCGTCTTCACCATCATGATCACGGCCCCCGTCATCACCATCACCAGCACCATCAGCATCAACATCATCAACACCATCACGACCATCATCATCACCAACACTATTACCATCACCATCACGCCCGCCATCACCATCACCATCACCATCAACATCAGCATCACCATACTCATCATCAACATCACCCATCACCATCACCATCACCATCATCACCACCACCATCGTACTCATCATCACCATCACCGTCACAATCACTATCAGCATCACCATAATTATCATCATGACCATCATCATATCATTATTATCATCACCATCAGCATCACCATCATCACCACCTTCATCACCATTACCACCACAACCATCATTACCATCGTCATCGTCATCACCATCACCATCAGCATAAACATACGCATCGCCATCACCATCACCACTATCACCCTCCAAGTCAGCACCAGCGTCATCATCGTCATCATCGCCATCACCATCACCAGCACCACCATCATCATCACCACCATGATCACGATCCCCGTCATCACCATCATCATCACCATTAGTATCAACATCATCAGCACCATCACGACCATCATCATCATCACTATCACGACCGCCATCACCATCACCATCGCGGTCGCCATCAGCATCAGCATCAGCATTAGCATCACCATACTCATCATCACCATCACTATCACCATCACCATCATCAACATCACCATCATCATCATCCTCATCATCCTTATTATCTGAAGCATCGGGGTCAGCCTGATCATCCTGACCGTCCTCATCATCATCATCATCACCCCCATCATACTCATCTCCATCCTCATCCTCATCATTATCATCACCATCAGCATTACCATCACCATCAACACCATCATCGATACCACTATCATACGTATCATCACCACCATCACCATCACCGTTACCATCAACATCATCACCACCATCACCACCACCATCATAAATATCATCATTCATCATCATCATCATGATCACTACCACCATCATAACCACCATCATCGCTATTACCACCACCACTATCACCACCACCGTCATCATTATCACCACCACCATCAACATCAATATCCACATCATCACCATCACCATCACCATCACAATCACCGTCAACACCAACAGCATCATTCTCATCATCACCATCACCACCACCATCATCATCACCATCATGATCACGACCACCGTCATCACCATCACCATCACCATCAACATCAATATCCGCCGACCCCTTGTGGGTCTCTAGGTGTGTGAGATTATCCCCTCCTTCAATCCCCCCCCAGGGAGCCCAAACCAGCAATTTGACCCTCACCCCCTGGCCCGGCGCGACCCCGGACCGAACGCGTCACGGGGGAGCGGAGGGCTCCAAAACGGGCCAAGAAAGCACCAAAACGTTCCCCAGACGGTCCCAGAGGGCCACGAGTCGCCGAAATATCGCTCCTCGACGCCCACGATGGCCTCCAGACGGCCTCCGAAGCTGCCAAGACGCCCCTAAAGGCCCCCAAGATGCGTCCCAAGAGGGTCCCAAGAAACAAACATCGTCCCATTCCCTGATGAAGAAACATGTTTCGCATACTCGCCATTTCGGCTTTGACAACGTCCAAGGCGGCCAAAGAAACCTTCAATATCGCCCCCAGACGGCCGAAGGGGCCCCCTAGAGGGGTCGAAGAGGATCCAAAACCAGCTCACGAAGCCCCCAAGACAGCCCAAGCGGGCCCCCAGACGGCTCCAAGAGGGAGTCCAGAGGGCACCTTTTGGAGCCTTCGGCCCCAAGACGCCCGCAGCCTGCCCCAAGAACACCCCAAGAGGCCCCGAGGGACCCCTAAGAGAACCTCAAAGGCCTCCAAGAAGCCCACAGGAAGCCCCCAAGATGCCCCAAAACTTGGCCCAAGATGCCTCGAGGCGGCCGGATATGGCCTGTAGACAGGCCAAGATGCCTCCGAAAGGCAACAAAAGAGCACCAAGAGGTACGATAACAGCAGCGAAGCAACAGGAACGATGTCGAGCGCCGTGTCATGATTCGGACAAGCCTCGTGAAATGCATTCCTGGAGGCGCTAGTTTATATAGGGGTCGGCGGATGTTGCGTTAGCCTCTATAATCATCAGCACCATCACCATCATCAACATCACCGACACCAATACTATCACCTTCACGACCGCCATCTCCAACACCCCCACCGTTAGCATCAGCATCAGCATCAGCATCAATATCACCATCAACATCATCCCCATCCTCATCCTCATCCTCATCATCTGGATCACCCTGATTATCATGATCATCCTGAGCTTCCTGATCATCCTCCTTACCCTCATGATCATTCTCATCATCACCCCCATCATCCTCATCACCATCCCCATTACCCTGATCCTGAGCATCATGATCATCATCATCACCATCATCATCACCATCATCATCAACACCATCATCATCATCATCATCATCATCATCATCATCATCGTCATCACCATCATTAGCATCATCACCACCATCATCATAATCACCATCACCATCACCATCACCATCACCATCACCATCACCATCACCATCATCATCACCATCACCGGGGGGCGAAGAGCGCAAGGGTTTGGGGCCCCTCCGGGTCCCCACAGCTGGCCGAAATCTGCACGTTCACCCGAGACGGCGACCGCAGCAGCAATATACATGTATTCAAATCGGCAGAAACTGCGACCAGCGGCCAGACGCCGTACGGCCCCTTCCGACCTCGCACCAGTCACCTCTTCTGGAATCCCCTCAAACGCCGAGGCGGTCCAGAAACTCGAGGCTCAAGGTGAGGAGGAGTCGGAGGAGGCTCAAGGCCAGGGGAAGCACGACAATTGAAACTCACATGTGTGAATGGCTGTCCATGTGTTTGTCCAGAAAGGCCAGCAAGAGGAATAATAATAGGGGTTAGGCAGTAACATCTGAATCCTCGAAGGCCTCGCCAGCTCCTCTAGACCCTACTGCGGCTGCTGCCGCTCTTGGTACGCGGTGAAGACGATCGTGTTGATGCTGAGTAGGTTTGCAGTGTGATGTTGATGATGCTGCTGCTGATGATGACAGTGATGCTGATGCTGCTGATGATAATGAGGAAGACAGATCCCCAAACGCTGTCCCCCGTGTGACTGCTCCGAAATTGCTAATGAAGAATCGGGGTGTGCTGCAGAGACCAGCGGGACGCCGCCTCTCCAGCGCGCCCTCCTGCTCGCCCATCGCGAACCAGTAGTGCAGCATTGTCCCAGGCCTCGGAGGGCCCACTGGAGAGAGGAGACATGAGGCGAAGGGGTGAGGAGACATGACGGTAAGACGTGAGGACAATGAGGAGGAGGAGGAGGAGGAGCAGGGAGGATGAAAGAAGAGGTATGAAGCGGCAAATGAGGGAGGAGCATGGAGACGGAGGAGGGTGGAGGATGTCGAGGAGGTGGAGGAGAGGAGGATGGTGAGGAGAGGAGCCCCAGGTTGCGGTCTGAATGGGCTCCGCAACAAATATCGAGACAAAAGGCCCCAACGCCTCCCTGGCAAAACTGCACGGCGGGCCCCCCACTTGGGACTCCTCGGCCTGGGGATTCCGGCTGGGACCCTGTGACAGGCCCCTGCCCCCCTTATGGGCTTCCTTCTCATGGGTTCTCGACTCTCGACATGGGTTCCGTCTCCCAGGCCTCATGCGGCCCCCCAGCTGGGCCTGTGCCTCACGGCCCCGCAATTTGGCTTCTTGCTCAGGGAGCAGGAGGAGGAGGAGGAGGAGGAGTAGGAGTAGGAGTAGGAGGAGGAGGAGGAGGAGGAGGAGGAGGAGGAGGAGGAGGAGGAGGAGGAGGAGGAGAAAAGGGACAAAAACGGAAAGGAGGAGGAGGACCGGAGGAGGGGGGAGGGGTTGAGGGGCGGGGGAGGAGGAGGAAAGAAGGAGGAGGAGGTAGGAGGGGGAGGAGGAGGCGGAGGAGGAGGAGGCAGCAGGAGGAGGAAGTGGCTCCCGACCGGCATGCCTGCTCCTGCGCCTCCCCGGCTGGGGTTCCTTCCCGTGCGACGCGGCTGCGCCCCCCCCCCCGCGCCAGACCCCCGCCCGCGCGGGCCGTGCCTGGTCGTGCAGCGAGGCGCCGCTGCAGTCGCGGAGCGAGCGGCGCACCGATACGACGCACGACGACTGCCGCCCACTGGGGAGGGGGCCGCGCGGGGGGCAGAGGCGGAATTCTGCATCGCGATTCCCTTTGGGCTAGTGTGTCTGGAAAAGCGTAGCCACTGAACATGCTGTAAATAAAGGTTTCCAACGAGAACGGTTCCGATAGCTAAAGACGCGTGTCGGGACCGAGCGGTGTGGGGCGGGGTGGGGGGTGGGGGGTGGGGGGGGTGCAAGACCTGGGCGGCCCGGGCGCGAACTTGAGCCTCCCAGCCCTCGCGACCCTGATGAGGGGGTGGGGTGTGCACGCGCATGCAATTTCTGGCAAGCTCCCACATCCTCCTCCTCCTTCTCCTCCTCCTCCTTCTTCACCCCCTCCCGTGTCTCCTCCTCTTCCTCCCCCCTCCTCTCGTTCGCCCTCTCTTCCCCCGTCTCTTCCCTATTCCCCCTTGTGCTCACGCTTGTCACTCCTCCTCCTCCTTCTCCTCCTCCTCCTGCTCCTCCTGCTCCTCCTGCTCCTCCTCCTCCACTTCATCCTCCTCCTCCCTCCTCTCCCTCCTCTTCCCTCCTCTCCCTCCTCTTCCTCTTCCTCTTCCGCTTCCGGTTCCGATTCCCTCTTCTACTTGTCCTCCTCCTCCGCCCTAATTAGATAGGTCCCCATGCCGCTCCTCAGTTTAGCGTTTAGCACCCTCTAGACTGTTCTTTCGAGACGCGCCTGGTCGTGGCGACGAGGCCACTTCCTGGCGGGTAGGGAGCGTGCGGGGGGGGGGTGGATGGCAGCCGCTGGCAACGGCCAGATTTTCTTTAACGCGTAGCCAAGCCTCAAACAGATCAGCCGTCCCGGTTCTCCCAAATCGCGGGCCCCACTGTGATTTTTCACGACGTGGGCCAGGAGCCTTCGACTCCCTACCCGTAAGTCGCGCCTGTCCTCCTACAGGCAGATGTTGGAGGAAAAAGTAAAAATACCCCAAACAGACCCCAAAATATTTAGAGAAAATGCAAAACATAGTCCTCCGACTAATTTTGGACTATTTTTGAATTTTCCTCCTGTAGACGGACAGGCCCGACTTGACCCTACCCCGTGGACACCACCGGGGCCGAAAACGGCTGCCGCACGCCAAGGCTGTGGAAGCTATGCTCGTCGTGCTTTGCTTCGCGACGCCTCGAGGGCTGGGCTCGGGGACCAACACTCGGCACCCCGACTGTAGCCCTGGGGTGCGTGCTGGCCAGAACTCCGAAGGGAATCCAGCCGTGCCCACGGGGAGGCCTTCTGAGTTGGCCAGGGAGAGGTAACGACGCCTAAACCGGCGACCCGCAAGAGTGACCCTGGGTCGAGGAGGAGGGACGGGGTACGAGGCAGGGGGGAGGAGGAGGAGGAGGAGGAGGAGGAGGAGGAGAGGAGGAGGAGGAGGAGGAGGAGGAGGAGGAGGAGGAGGAGGAGGAGGAGGAGGAGAAGAGGAGGAGGAGGAGAGAGGGAGAGAGGAGGGGAGGAGGGAGGTAAGGAAGGAGGAGGAGGGAGGAGGAGGAGGAGAAGGGACAGTGATTCTTGGTGCGCGGATCGCATTCAGCGATCGGGGGATCCCATTGTCGGGGGTCCCTAAACGGTGTGACCACACCGCGTGGTGAGTCAATGGGGCTTCGGGGTCACCGCACGGTTTTGGGACTCGGGTCGTTCTGCCTCGGGCGACTGGGGCCTCCGAGGCCCCAAGACCGTGCGGTGACGGACCGCGCGGCGAGGGCCTCTTGGGGATCGAGGCCGCCGCGCAGTCCGTCACCACACGGTCTCGGGACCTTCCGGCAGTGGGCCCACAAGACAGGCCACTCCGGCAGTCTTGCGTGCGGTGAACAAGCAAGCCTCGAGCGCGTGGGGGACGGGGAGGGGGAGGGGGAGGGGGAGGAGGGGGAGGAGGAGGAGGAGGAGGAGGAGGAGGAGGAGGAGGAGGAGGAGGAGGAGGAGGGAATGATGAGGAGCGGCCGCAGCCCCGCGGCCCCGCGCGCTCCAGGCGGGGCCCGGGCCCGGGCCCCGGACTCCACGGCGGAGGCGTTGAGGTAGCCGGACCTCGGGCGCCCGCGGCCGGAGGCGCGCCCCCTGCGGCCGCGGCGCCGCGCCCCGCGGGCGAGCGCGGCCGGGAGATCGCGAGCGCGCGCGCCCTCGCCAGTCGCCTGGTCGCCTGATCGCCTGGTCGTCGTCGTCGTCGTCGTCGTCGTCGTCGTCGTCGTCGTCGTTGTCGTCGTCGTCGTCGCCGTCGTCTTCGTCGTCGTCGTCGTCGTCGTCGTCGTCGTCGTCGTCGTCGTCGTCAGCGTCGTCGTCGTCGTCGGCTCGCTACTCCTCCTGCTCCTTCCCCTCCTTGTTCTCGTCATCCTCGTCGTAGTCCTGCTTCTCCTCCCCCTTCTGTTCCTTCTTTCGTTCTCTTCTTCCTCCAGGTGGGGGGTGGGGCGGCAGAAGGAGAAGGAAGGGGAAGGTGGAGAAAAGAAGGGGGAGTGTCAGAATGCGAGGGGGGGGTCGGGGAGGCGGGGAAGGATGGAAGGAGCTCTGCAGCTTTCCACCACCGCACCGCAGCTGCCATGGCTGTCGGCGCCAGGCCGCCCCCTGGCTGCTCCCCCCTGTGCTCTGTTGCTGTCGGCGGCAAGCAGGCTATTGCAGCCACAGCCACAGGCGCATCCTGTGTCTGCACAGCCATAGGTCTGCTGTGTGACAAGCGGCCGCATCCGCGGTCAGTCGTGGCTCCGCGCAGTCTGGCCGCGCGGGCATGGTGGGACGCGAGGGCTGCCGGGCTCCCTCGAAGTTCTGGCTGCTGGCCGGAGGCATCTGGTTTGGGCAGACCCCTGCTGCGATGCACGCGAGCACCTCCTCCATCTCCTCCTCCCTTCCCCCCTCCTCCTCCTCCTCCTTCCTCCCTCCTCTCATCATACTACGCCCCTGACCGTCATCATCCCGCCTCCTACAGCCCGCCTCCCCTCCTCCTCCTCATGCATTCCATCCTCCCTCGCCGCCTCCTCCCCTCCTCCTCCTCATCCTCCTCCTCCTCCTCCCCCCTCCTCTCCTCCCTCTCCTCCTCCCTCCTCCCCCTCCCCTCCTCCCTCCTCCCTCTCCCTCCTCCTCCTCTCCTCCCCCCTTCCCCCCCCTTTTTTTTCCTTCCCCCTCCTCCTCTCCTCCTCCTCCCCTCTCCTCTCCGCCATCTCCTCCTCCCTCCCCTCCTCCTCCTCCTCCTCCTCGTCCTCCTCCTCCTCCTCCTCCTCCTTCTCCTCCGCCTCCTCCTCCTCCCCCTCCTTGCGTCCAAGGAAGGGGCCGCTGTAGGCCAGCTCCATCGCAAGTGCAGACGAGGCTCGGGATCCTCGCGTGCGCCGCTGGGCCCATCGCATCGTGCGCCCCTGCCCAGTGGGTGGCTATCCGCACTCGCGAGACGTGGAAACGGCCACGGACCTTAGTCTGAATCTTCTCGGGCCGCTTGAGGCGGAGGAGGGGGAGGAGGTGGGGGGAGGAGGAGGAGGGAGGAGGAGGAGGAGGAGGGAGCAGGAGAAGGAGGATGAGGAGGATGAGGAGGATGAGGAGCAGCAGGGGGATGATGATAATGATGATGATGATGATGATGATGATGATGATGATGATGATGATGATGATGATGATGATGATGATGATGATGACGATGATGATGCTGCTGCTGCTGATGATGATGCTGATGATGATGCTGCTTATCATGATGAGGATGATGATGACGATGATGCTGATGGTCATGATGGTCATGATGATGCTGATTGTGCTGATGATGACGATGCTGATGCTGCAGATGCTGCTGAAGCCGCTGATTATGCTGACGATGCTGATGACGAGGAGGCTGATGGGGCTGCTGCTAATGATGCGGATGATGTTGATGACGATTATGATGCTGCTGCTGATGATGATGGTGGTGGTGATGCTGATGCTGCTGCTGCTGATGATGATGCTGTTGCTGATGATGAAGCTGCTGATGATGCTGGTGTATGATGATGCTGATGATGATGCTGATACTGCTGCGTGGAAAGAGAAATAGGATAATGAGGAGGAGGACGAGGAGGAGGAGGAGCAGAGGAGAAGGAGGATGAGGAGGAAGACGAGGAGTAGGACGAGGACGAGGAGGGGAAGGATGAACATGAGGATGAGGATGAGGATGATGATGCTGATGATGATGATGATGATGATGATGATGATGATGATGATGATGATGATGATGATGATGATGATGATGATGAGGGGGAGGAGGAGGAGGACGAGGAGAAGGAGGAAGAGAAGGAAGCGGAGGAAGCGGAGGAGGAGGATGAGGAGGAGGAGGAGGAGGAGGAAAAGGAGGAGGAGGAGGAGGAGGAGGAGCAGCAGGAGGAGGATGGCGGGGTGGAGGCGGGGGAGGAGGAGGAGGAGCAGAGGAGGAGGACAAGGAGGAGGAGCAGGAAGAGGCGGGAGGACTGGAGGTGGACAAAATCCTCTTCAGAAAACCCGACCTTCTCTAGTGAAAACGAACCGGGAGCATGCCCCGAAGACTTTCGGCGGCAAGACTCTCTGGGGAGCCGAAACAGGGAAATGTGATGAGGGATCTACCACCCCCAGAGAACAGGAGCATGAGAAGGAACGAGGGATGGATGGATTGATGGATGGATGGACGGGTGGATGGATGGATGGATGGATGGTTGGGAGAGGGGAAGGAGGAGGAGAAGGAGGAGGTGGAGGAGGACGAGGTGGAGGTGTAGGAGGAGGAGAGGAGGAGGAGGAGGAGGAGGAGGAGGAGGAGGAGGAGGAGGAGGAGGAGGAGGAGGAGGAGGAGGAGGAGGAAGAGGGAGGAGGACGAGGAGCAGGAGGAGGAGGAGGCGGAGGAGGAAGAAGAGGAGGAGGAGGAGGAGGAGGAGGAGGAATCATGCGGAGTAATGCGGGTCAGACGGGTCGCGGTGTTCCAAGATCTCGCGCCGTGGGTTGCCTGGCCGCTTCGGGCCGTCCCCGAGACGAGCCAGAAAACCAGTGCCCCCGAGGGCGTACCTCAGAGGGGCTTCGTAGTGGTGGGGTGCAAGCCTTCCCACAGACGATTCAGCCTACCCCCGATCACCCTTTGGGCCGCAGGGCGACATGGGGAAAATAGGCCCGACCACCTGTCGCGGGCGTACCTGGTACACCTCCCACAGAAAGCAAGATTTCGGCGGAACGCGAGTTCGTGCCCCGCCCCCCCTAGCTTTGTCGACCCTGACGGCCCCCAAGCCCAGAGCGGCCCGAGAGAGGGGGGTGGCAGTCAGGGGTGGGGCAGGGAGCTCGGTGGCCCCCTCACCTGCACCGCCAGCCGTCCCAGGGGACCCAGGGGGGTCTAGGAGCTCCAGGGCGGCGTCGGGGGGGTTCGAGTCCGTCGGCGGACTCGAGCCTTTCTCAGTGTCGACGGTATCGCTACCCAGGACACCAACGTACGCGGCGAATTCGAGGATGTCTCGAACTGGGTTATCTGTCTGAACATAAGCATCCCTCGTCCAGGCGGGGTGGTATGGTACAAAGCCCCCCGTCTGGCATATTGGTCCGCTATGAGGAGGCATAGGAGGAGGAGGAGGAGGAGGAGGAGGAGGAGGAGGAGGAGGAGGAGGAGGAGGAGGAGTAGGAAAAGGAGGAAGAGGAGGAGGAGGAGGAGGAGGAGGAGGAAGAGGAAGAGGAAGAGGAGGAGGAGGAGAAGGAGGAGGACGAGGACCCGTGTGAACCCAAGAGTCGTCGACGATGTTGGAATGCACCCTCCCTCCAAGCTCCCTCTTCACATGCCCCATACAACGGTTCATTTCCACTGAAGGAACTGCCTCGTTGGAAGGTAACCGTGTGCAGACCCTGAAGCATGCCAAAACATTATTCTCGGGACTCCAACGCCACGGATCATTCTGACTGTTGCGTCGTGACGATCCTGAATTGTGCCAGAACGCCATTCCTTGGACTTCAAGACCGCGAATCAACGCTACTGTGGCGCCCTCATCACCCTGAATCTTTCCGGATCGCCATTTCTGGTACGGTGACCATGGGAATCCGCGAAACTCTTGTAATTTGTCGAAACGAATGCGCGCGGCGCTAAGGCAATTTGAAAACGACGACCCGCCCTCAATCCGTGAATGTCTTGTCATTTGTTTAAACGGATGTGCGCGGCGCTAGGGCGAAAACCACAATTTGAACACGACCCGCCCTCAATCCGTGCAACCCTTGCAATTTTTAAAACGAATGTGCGCGGCGGTACAGCGAGACCCACAATCTGAAAACGACCCGCCCTCGATCCGTGAAATTCTTGCGATGTTTTGCAACGAATGTGAGCGGCGCTAAAGCGAGAACCACATTTTGAAAACGACCCGCCCTCAATCCGTGAAGCCCTGGCAAAATTTAAAAACGAATGTGCGCGGCGCGAAGGCGAGACCCACAATTTAAAAACGACCCGCCCTCGATCCGTGAAGCCCGTGCAATTTGTTGAAGCGAATGTGCGCGGCGCTGAGGCGAGAACCACTATCTGAAAACGACCCGCCCTCGATCCGTGAAACCCTTGCAACTTTCGAACAACGAATGTGCGCGGCGCTACGGCGAGACCCAAATCTGAAAACGACACGCCCTCGATCCGTGAAACCCTTGCAAATTTTGAAATTTGAATGTGAGCGGCGCTAAGGCGAGAACCACATTTTGAAAACCACCCGCCCTCGATCAATGAAACTGTTGCTACTTTTTAAGCTTCAGGGTCATCAATGGTGAAGAAGTCTCCAGCGAAATGCCCGGCCCGCCCTTAAAACAGGCCTCGGGGTGCGACAGGGACAAATTATTTGCAAGGAAAAGGAATGGAGGAGGAGGAGGAGAAGGAGGAGGAGGAGGAGGAGGAGGAGGAGGAGGAGGAGGTGAATGATGATGAGGAGGAGGAGCAGCAGGAGGAGGGAGGAGCAGGAAATCGGAGGAAGGTGGAGGATAGGCGCGATCAGCGACCGCGCCGCGCGCAGACTCCGAGGGCCTCTCCACTGCGGCGCCGGCGGCGTGCCGTAGCCAGGCAGCTCCGGCACCGAATCCGCCGCGGGCGCCGCCCGCGCGGAGAGGGCGAGCGCCGAGAGCGCCAGCGACTCGGTAAGCGCGGCAGGTTCGAAGGCCCTTCTTCTTCTTCTTCTTCTTATTCTGCTTCTCCTCCTTCTCCTCCTCCTATCTCCTCCTCCTCCTCCTGCTCCTCCTCCTCCTCCTGCTCCTCCTCCTCCTCCTCTGCTCCTCCACCATTTCGTTATCCTCTTTCTCCTCTCCCTCCCTCCCCTACTGGTTGCTCCTCCTCCTCCGCCATCCTACCTTCCTCCTCTCCTCCTCCTCCCCCTCCTCCTCCCCCTCCTCCTCCTCGCCCCCCTCCTCCTTCTCCTCCTGTTCTTCCTCCTCCTCCTCCTTCTCCTCTTCTTCCTCCTCTTGTCCCTCCCCCTCCTGTTTGTCGTCCTCGATGTGCTGGCGCTCAGCGTGGGGCTCAAAGGTTGCACTCTCAATTCATGATGTTGCCATCCTTCTCGTCTCATCTCATCCCACCTCCTTGTCCTTCCCTTACCTGCCTCCATCCCCTTTCTTCCTTCCTGGAGGCCTCCTCATTTGGGTCTGAGTAAATGGGGTCGGAAGATCGCTCCGCATCGCCGATACATCGCCGATGCATTGGCGACGTCGGCGTTGAGAAAATCGAGCTCAACATCGAACCGTATCGGTGACGCATCGGCGATGCGGCGCGATCCTCCAACCCCACCTGCTCGGACCCCACCCTGGATGCCTAAACTTCCTCGCCCTCCCCGAGCTGAGGCTTGGGTGACCGTGATGAAAAGATGATGATGCTGATGATGCTGATGATGCTGCTGCTGATGGTGATGATGCTGCTGATGATGATGGTGATGCTGCTGAAGATGAAGATGAAGATGAAGAGTATTATTAATATTATGATTATGATGATGATGAAGGTGAATATGAATATGATGATTATGATGATGATGATGATGATGACGATGATGATGATGATAATGATGATGATTCTGATTATGATGATGATGAGGATGATGAGGATGATGATGACGATGATGATGATGATGATGATGATGATGATGATGATGATGATGATGATGATGATACTGATGATGATGATGATGATGATGATGATGATGATGATGATGATGATGATGATGATGATGAGGAGGATGAGGATGAGGATGATGATGCTGCTGCTGCTGCTGCTGCTGCTGCTGGGGCCTGCACTTCCTCGCCCTCCCCCGAACCGAGGCCCGGGCAGCCGAGCCCGCGAGGCGCGCGCGCCGCGGGCGCGCGGTGCCGCCGTCCATATCGGCGCGGGGCGGCGCGGGGCCGCGCGGGGCGGCGCGGTGCGGAGGGCGCGGGCCGACTGCGGGCCGCCGCCGGTGGCGGGGGTCGGGGGTGGTGGTATGGAGGAGGAGGAGGAGGAGGAGGAGGAGGAGGAGGATGTGGAGGAGGAGGAGAGGAGGGAGGAGGAGGAGGAGGAGGAGGAGGAGGAGGAGGGGAGGAGGAGGAGGGAGGAGGAGGAAGGAGGAGGAGGAGGAGGAGGGGAGGAGGGAGGAGGAGGAGGAGGGAGGGGAGGAAGAGGAGGAGGAGGAGGAGGAGGAGGAGGAGGAGGAGGAGGAGGAGGAGGAGGAGGAGGAGGAGGAGGGAGGAGGAGGGAGGAGGAGGAGGAGGAGAGAGAGGGTCGTCCTCCCCGTGTAATTGCCAGCGTTGTCTGAGACTGTGGTCCCCTCCCTCCTCCCCCCTCCGCCGGAAGGGGCAGGGACTGTCCGCGGTTGCGGGGCGGGCCTGCGAGGCGGTGTGCCGCAGAGGGCGGAGGGCGGAGGGGTGCGCCAGTGGACAGGACTGGGCGGGGGCGGAGGAGGGGGAGGAGGGCGAGGGGCCGACCCCCCCGAGCGACAATCGGCCTCCCCAGCCCACCTGCCAGCAAGCACCAAACAGCAGCTGGCCTGCAGCACACCCAGGGCCCCTCCCATCCCTCCGCTCCTCCATCTCCATCTCTCGTCGGAGGAAAAAAGAGCACGGCGTACATCTGGGCTATCGGAGGTCCGCGATGACCTCCGAAAGTTCATGCATATTTGGAGAGGGATGACGGCAACAAGACGCGGGGATGAAGGCAACAAAAGAAATGCCCGGACCCCGCCCAGAGTCCATCACCCCGGATCCGTTTTTGACGGTCCCGGGACCCGAAAACGGCCCCCAGAGGTAGGAAAAAACAACAGTTTTCTGGAACCCAGAATTTCAAACCTTGACGCCCATTTCTGCTCGTAGGGGCCAGTGCTGGGCCACCTCAGGCCGCCAGCTGGCTCCAAACTGGGCCCAGCATTCAGTACAAGGTAGCAGGTCAACTCATGCTGCTGCACTGGCAGTCGCTGAACTCAGCACCAGCAGACGTAATAATCATCACCTGGATGTTAAGACACCATGTTGCTATTTGGCTCAGACTCGGGGGCACGTCGGATTCATTCGAATATCCCGTGACAGTACCCAGCAGAAGAGCTGCGGAATTATCCGCGAGCGTCGATGCACGAGAGTGTGATCATAAAAGGGGCCCTGGCGCTTGAACCCCAACTGATCTACGGAGGCTCATAGAGCAACTGAGCCAGGACGCTGTGGCCAGGACACTCTGGGCCACCACGAAACTCAAAAGGCCAAGTGAGGCCTGGACTCATGGGCAAAACCCTGTGGTCGACCGCAGAACCAAAACACGGGTGCAAACAGATCCCAACTTTGTGGGCGGCACGCTTGGCGCCACGGGGAAGTCCATCAATCACACAGAATTGGTCCCACCAAAAACCAGCAACACCCCCCACTGCAAGCATTGTGGTGTTCACGCAATTTTGGGAAGAGAGACAGGACAACTGAGGGGAATCATAGCGCGTCGACCTCCAGCACTGCAGCGACGATGGCGAAGATCTGAAACGGCCCCGGACTCGGGCGGAGGGGGAAGAGGAAACAGGAGTGGGGGCACAGCGGCAGGAGGGCGCAAAACACGAGTGCAATTGCACCGCTCGCGAGACCACGTGTGCGCGTGTGCACGCGCTTGGAGCACCGCCCGGCGAACCGATGTCGCCGCTGCGCCTCCGGCTCTCCGGCTGCCTGCCTGCCTGCGCTCCCTGCTCTACCCGCTCCCCTCCTTGCCCCAGGAGCGCCCAGAATCGAATCGAGAAGTCGGATCGGCGATCGAGATGAAGCGGATCGGCGGAAATCGGCAGCACAGTATGCCTCCGATCAGAAATCGGAACCCAACATCGGAATCCCAGGTCGAATCGAATCGGGATCGGAAGCCATCGAAATCGAATCGGATCGAATCGGCGGAATCGAAACGAGCCCTGCCTTGCCTGGCCGCTTCTTCTTGCCGTGGCGCAGGCGCTCGCAAGTCACTGCAACGCGGCCTTCCGCGCGCGGATCTCGTCGAGCCGGGCCTCTTCCGCCGCGGAGAGCGACCCTCGCCGCTCGAGGGTGGCGAGCAGGCCCTCCTCGGGGGCGGGGGGAGGGGGGTTCTCCATACTTTGAGGGGGAGAAGGGGGAGAGAAGGGGTGGGGGGGTCTTCTAGGAGGGACGGAAGGAGAGACAGGAAGAACATCGAAGAGGGAAAGGGAGGCGGGGGTGCCTCTTATTGCCCCCGCGCCGTGCTTCTCGCAGTCGGCTGGCGCTGTGCTGCGCGGGCTGCACACGGAGCAAGGGACTGACAAGGGATGCACCAGTCGTTCGTCCAAACACTTGGTCAACTTGACCGTGCGCTGCGAAGACCACATGCAGCCAGGCTGTTGGCCCCATGCCGCGGTGCCCAGAAGCAAGTGCATTGCTGAATGCTTCTTCGAAGCCGACAAATTCCTGGTTAGAGTTCCGCCAAGCAGAACGCCTTTATAGAGTTGACACTTGGCAACCGTTTTGCCTCTGGCACTGGCCACGGAGAAACAGAGTCTCCGTCTGTTGAGGCGACGCCACTCTTACACATAATCGATCCACTTGATGCCTGGTAGCGCTTGGCAGCTGGTTGCCTCTGACGCGGGGGACCGAGCAACACCGCCTCCATCTGTTGAGGCGACGCCACTACTGCACATGGTCGACCTACTTGATCCCTGATGGCGCCGCGCTTGAAGGTTCTACTACCCTCGTCAAACTTAACCTCAACAGTTGCTGGCACGTCATTTCGATTTCGGCGCGCCCCTCAATGTCGACACGCCGCCCCTTCAATGTCGGGGCGAGGGCAGAGATAGTCTGACCGAAGTTGACTCGAAAGTTTGACGTCGACCGACATTGGAGGGGCGGCGCATGCAAGTACCCCGCACTCATCGATATTCGGCCCCAGATCTTCCGACAAGCAGTTCAACCACGTCAGACATTTTTGAGGTTCATTTTGACGGCGGTTGTAGGCATGCTGAGCTCGGGGGGCAACCATAAAGGGCGAAGAGCCCAAGGGCGAGAGCAATACGTGCATCCAATAGCGCCGACGGCCCACGTCTTCGGCGAGGCTCCGTGGCGAACGCGTGTCATGCCCGCCCCTTGGGCAACTCGCCCCTCTCGTCGCCCCCGAGCAGCGACCGACCCAGAATCTCTCCCAAGGGGGGGTCCCCGCGGCTGCCGTCGCGGTGCCGCAAAGGCCGCTGGACACTGCTCCGATCGAGCAGGGTGCCTCCTGGGCGGCCATGCCAACATCAGCCCAGCTTTACCAAACACACCGTTGCGTTCTCCAACAGCTCGGTGCGGCATCTATCACAAAGCATTTGAAAGCTCATGCTTCCCAGTGAGCATGTACGAACATGAGCCTCTCATGAGCCTCTCATTAAAATTTGAACGCTCCTCCCAACTCAGGAGCCTCGCGTGAGCCTCGCATGACCCTCTCAAGAGCCTCCCAATTGCTTTTCAAAATCCGCTCAGGAGCCTTTCATGATCCGCTCAGCAGCCTCTCAAGAGCATCTCATGAGCCTCTCAGGAGCCTCTCAGGAGCATCTCAGAACCCTCTCAGGAACGTCCGAGGAACCCCTCATGAGCCACTCAGGAGCCTCTCGGGAGCCTCCCTGGATCTTCTCAGGAGCCCCCCAGGGCCCTCCCGGTAACTTCTCGAGAGCCTACCAGGAGCCCTCTTAGCTCCGCCATCCCAGCGCATCGCATCGCACTATCCATTTATATATATATATACACATAGATATATACATACACACATATATATATATATATATATATATATTGGTTTCTCGAACAAGTGGCTCACTTGGTAGGACACCAAAGGACTCGTCATCGCTTCGTCTCTCCACGGTCCATCATTGAAGGGGCCCTGGGACACACAAATAAATAGACACAAATAACAGGTTTTCCTTATAATTTATCATATTTTCTGGGTTTTTTGTCTTCCCCCCACTTCCCATATTATCCCTTCTTTTTTGGGAATCGACGATTAATTGTGTGGTGCGCTGCTGGGGCCATTCTGCCAGAGGAAATGCCGGATCCTCGTGCGGAATCTGCGCTCGGACGACCTGCCTGACCACGCTGCCTATTGGAAACCAGCCTTGCTGGACTTTCCGATCACCAGTCCCAGGACAAACTTCCATCAAACAATGAACTGCCTTCTTTTCCAGTCCCGTATCGGGGGCCAGGTAGGGACAACTTTCCTGACATCTCCCCGTCAACGTCGGTGCAGTTTCCCGCCGTCTCCAAACGCTTGTCGCACCCTATGTGCCACAGGAACCATTTGATTCTGCCTGATGCGTCGCGTTGACATGGGTTTGGGTGTCCTGCTTCTGAGGCTACTGCCATACGCTTTCTACTGTGGAAGATGTCCTTGTTTTGAAGAGCCTTCGACAGATGATGTCAAAACTACCGCGCTTATATCGTATGGGCAACTGGTACTCGAAGCTCACGAAATTCTGCCTTCATTGCCGCAGCCGTTCCCGTTGCCTGTTGAAACTGTTGCCGCAGCCAGCGGTGCTCTCATTCCTGTTGTCGTTTCGAACCGGCCGCCATCTTTGGACCCGCCACCGTGCCGCACGCAGTATTGAGTACTGTGCACTCTGAGGAGCGCCGGACCCCCGACGCCATTGCTGTCTCGAGCGCTCCTGAGTGCTCTTGGGGTTCGTCGCATGACTGTCCCAAGGGGGCCGTCCTGGGGTTCTCTTGAGGGTCTCTTCCGTCCTGGAGGCCCCGAAGGCTAGCCCAAGAGGCCGGCCCAAGGGGCCCAAATCGGCGGTGGGTGATTTTTGCATTCTCGCGTTTCGGCTCTCGGAGCGTCCAAGACGGCCCAAGAGGCCCCAAATATCGCCCCAAGACGGACGAGTCCCAAGATGGCTCTCAGAGTCCCCCAAGAGGAGCCCCAAAAGGGGAGCTCGAAAGGGCCTCAGGAGCCCTCCTCCTAAAGATGGCATCCAAGACCGTTAGCAGGCTCTGAAGGGCCCCCCACGAAGCCCCCAGAAATGTCCAAGAGTCCCCCAAGAGCCCTCAAGAGGCTCCCGCTAAGATAACATCGGCCCGGCCGGATTTCCGCACACTCTCGGACATGCCCTTGTCCTTGGGGCTCGTGGCGGTTCATCACGTTCGGGTTCATCACCCTCGATACTGCCATCACATACCTGCCTTGGTAACCAAGGGGACGCTGTGCGATGTGTACAGTATGCGCAATACAGCCATCTTATGACAGGCGGGGGCGAAGACGATAAGAGCCACACGACAATGCGCAAAGCCGATGCGATGATACGGGGAAGATGGTGTGTACGCTGCTGCTACACCTATCTGCCCATCAGGAGATCATCTTGGCATCAATATCAAGGGGACACGACGGCGACGACAATGGTAACACGCTACGTCTGGAGGGTAATGGATGGGATTGGAAGGTCGTCTTCTTTCCCGCCAGGATCAAGGAAGGTAAATGGGAGTCGCGGAGAGCTGGGGATACTTACGAGGTGTAGATTTGTATGGTCGAGCCAGAGGCGGAATCACACGCCGGCATTGTCCTGGGATCGAACAAGATGCGCTGCCTCTCCGCTCCGTCTCGCCGTCTTCGCACGCACTGTCCCCCCCCCCTGCGGTAGCTTAGCTTAGTTGTTGGGGACACGCTCCGATAGCTAACAAGAGAAGGAGAAAGAAGGGACTCCGCGGACATAGCGAATCACGGGAAGCACCCCGACACCATCACACCATTGCTCTGCATGCCACTGGCCCACGACGCTCGTTCGAGCCCCTGGGGATGACTGCACACCAGACCCCTGTAAGCGTTAGGTCGGGCATGTCCTCCTACAGGCGGATTGTGGAAGAAAGTACAAGTCACACAGTACTCCAACAACAATGACATATAGCATAACGATCGTCCCCTATACTTTTTTGGGGGCTATCTTTGAATATCCCTCCTGTAGAGGGACAGGCACGACTGCATGCAAGCCCTTCGATGGGCCTGCCTCCCCCCTCTGCCCTCGCTTACTGGGGCCCCTGTGCGGCGAGTTTCCCCTCGGCGGCGAGGGGGGTGCTGGGCAGCCGCCCAGGCGCCCGATCGCCTTCGGGCACAACGGGAGGAATGACGAGGCGCCTGCAGCTCGGCGGCGAGCGGCGGGGGGAAGTGAGAAGGGAAGGCCTTCTCAGGAGGCTCGGAAGTCCCCCAGCCTTCGGAGAAGTTTTCTGAGCCTTCACCGAAGACACAGAACAACTTCTCAGAAGGCGCGAGGGCTTCTGAGAAGTCCGACCGCCTTGTGAGAAGTCCTTCTCATTCTCATTCCCTCCCCTCGCTCGCCGCCGACCTCTCCCACGACGAGGCTTGGTGGCGCGCACAAGGGGGTGGAGGGAAGGGGGAGGGCTTCTTAGAAGGAGGCTGCTTCTTAGAAGGCACCGGGCTTACATCTATAGAGAAGGCCCGCTCCTTCTAAGAAGCAGGAGTGTTTCTAAGAAGCCCTCCCCCCCTCCCCCCACCCCCCTCTGCGCGTGGCCGAGAGGCGCCTACGGCGGCGAGAACGCGGCCGACCACACAGCCCAAGACGTGGCTGTCCGGTGGCCCTCCAGCGTGCGCAGGCACTCCCCAGAGCCCGCGCACCAGATCTTCGCCGTGCCGTCCTCCGAGGCGGTGAGCACCTGCTGCCCGTCCGGTGAGAACACCGCGGACATCACGGCGCTCCCGTGGCCCTCCAGCGTGCGCAGGCACTCCCCGGAGCCCGCGCACCAGACCTGCGCCGTCCGATGCTGCGAGGCGGTCAGCACCTCCTGCCCGTCTGGCGAGAACACGGCGGACATCACGGTGCCCTGGCGGCCCTCCAGCGTGCGCAGGCACTCCCAAGAATCCGCGCACCAAATCTTCGCCGTACCGTCGTCCGAGCCGGTCACCACCTGCTGCCCGTCCTGCGAGAACACGGCGGACATCACGGTGCCCTGGTGGCCCTCCAGTGTTTGCAAGCACTCCCCGGAGCCCGCGCACCAGACCTTCGCCGTGCCGTTGATCGAGGCGGTCAGCACCTGCTGCCCGTCCGGAGAGAACACGGCGGACTTCACGGAGCTTTCGTGGCCCTCCAGCGTGCGCAGGCACTCCCCAGAGCTCGCGCACCAGATCTTCGCCGTACCGTCGGCCGAAGCGGTCAGCGCTCTCTGCCCGTCCGGCGAGAACACCGCGGACCTTACAGTCTTCTGGTGGCCCTCCAGCGTGCGCAGGCACTCCCCGGAGCCCGCGCACCAGATCTTCGCCGTGCGGTCCTGCGAAGCGGTCAGCACCTGCTGCCCGTCTGGCGAGAACACGGCGGCCATCACGGACCTCCAATGACCCTCCAGCGTGCGCAGGCACTCTCCTGAGCCCACGCACCAGATTTTCGCAGTGAAATCTTCTGAGGCGGTGGCCACGTGCAGTGCTGGGCTTACAACTAGAGACAGCTCGCTGCCACTGGTATAGAGGAAGGAAAATCGGCATAAACATAAAAGTTTGGAGCTCCGCGCGGATTTCTCGGATCGGCGCCAGACCCTCTCCTTGGTCACGGGCCGGCGCTGGAGGCGCTGCCAGGGGGGCCCAGCGCCGATCCACGAAATCCACGCGGAAGTCCGACAATTTATGTTTATACATGTTTTTCTTCTTCGATGGCAGCCCCGATGTCGGCCAAGGTCGCAAGCCCGCACAACTCCGCGCCCCCAAAGAAGATTCGCCTCCTGCCTGGCGCCCCATCTTGCTCTGGCACTCTCGCGAGCACATCGCGCAGCCGCCACGACGCTTCGGCGTCCAGAGCCGCCAGCTTTCGCCCGCTGCAAGTGATCACGGACACGCGCATCCCGAGTAAGAGTTGCAAAATGGTTGGGGCAGGAAGCGGGAGGAAACAAGGGGGACTCTCGCGGATGCCTGCATGGCTATAGCCAGAATGGCTACGGAAGAGGTTGGCCGAGCTGCGATCGGGTGATCGCCGAATTGCGCTGGTGATGGCCACGCCATCGTTGCCGGCAGCCCGCCCACAGCTTGCCCAAAATCCGACGCGACCGTCTGAGCGACGCGGTGCGAACCGACCATCTGAGGATGGCACCCTCGGACGACGACCCTGGGACCCTTTCGCTTCAAGATCCCCCCGCCACCCGTGCTGGCGTCGACGCGTGAACGGTTGAGTGTAGGCCCAGGCGGGTATGCGGAATGCTCCTCACATCCTCCTCCTCCTTCTCCTCCTCCTCCTCCTCCTTCTCCTCCCCCTCCTCCTCTTCGTTCTCCTCCTCCCCCTCCTCCTCCTCCTCCTCTTCCTCCTCTTCCTCCTCTCTCCTCCTCTCTCCTCCTCTCTCTCCTCCTCCTCCTCCTCCTCCTCCTCCTCCTTCTCCTTCTCCTTCTCCTTCTCCTTCTCCTCCTCCTCCTCCTCCTCCGCCCTCCTCCTCCTCCTCCTCTTTCGAACCGCGGCCCCCCGCACGCAATGAATTCATGCAGGAGGCAGCTTCGGACCCTGGGACCGCGAAGGGCCCCTCCGCACCGCGGGCCATCTGGGGAAGGGGTGGCGGCGCGCCGAATGCTAACTGTCGCATGGGGTAGAAGAACAACACATTGCTCAAACATCACCTTTCGGATAACCTCGCGGATTTCTTGGATCGGGGCTGTAGCGCCCTGACGGCGCCTTCAACGCCATCCGTGGCGCACTGCGCGCGCAGCGCCGACTCAAGAACTCCGCGCAGATCTTCGAACACTTACGGTCGTAAACTTTTGCTTCTTGTAGCGTGTCGCGGCGGTGGCCCCAACAAAACGCTCTGCCCTGCGAGCGGATCGGATGCCGCTCCGCTTCGCAGAGCGGGAGGCTGGGAAAGGCTCGGGACATTGAGGCTCGGGGACCAGGACGTGGATAGCGTGTCGCCCCGAAGCTTGGTGGTCCAGAACCGGTGCGGCATGAGACGCCAAAGTTCCTGACCGTAGGTGAAGTCAGAGGATCGCGCCGCATCGCGAATGTATTGCCGATGTCGGCGCGAGGGAGGGGAGGGCCCAACGCCGTTATAAGAACTCCGCGGGGACCTTCGAAAGCTTACGTCTACGTCGTTTTCTCGTCCTCGGCGGGGGCCTGCCTCCTGGCCCCCCGCCCCTCAAGCAATCGGCTACACGCAAGAGTGACCCTTGGTGCGCGGCTTTTTGAGGGCCGCGGGGGGACCAAACACAACCGAGCAAGACGCTACTGTCGCACCGCACGCGACGTTCGGGGGGCCCCAACGGCCGCGCACCAGAGGTCGCTCCGGCGAAGGGTCACTCTGACGTGCAGTCGAAGCAAGCGGCGCACCCGCCTCGGCCATCAGCCCGGGCCTGGAAAGGCCCTGGAATCGTCCGAAGGTCCGGGGCCCCAGAAGCGTGTGGTGATGGACCGCGTTGTGACCTCGGCCTCCCCAGCGACCTCACCATGCGGCCCGTCGCCGTGTGGTCTGCGGACCTCCGGGGCCGCGGCCGCCCGAGACGTCCTCGGAGAGTGCCCGAGAGTCCCCCAAGCCGTGCGGTGACCCCGAACTCCCCACGGACTCACCACGCGGCGGGGTCACCACACCGCTTGGGGGGCCGGACGGCCACCGTCCCCTTGGCTGGCCTGGCCCGGCGGCGCTGTCGGCGGTGGACCACCGCGGCCTCCCTCGGCAGCGGTCGGGAGGCGGCCTCCGTGAGACGCCCGCGGCCCGAGACGGGAGCGAAGGGAGCTGGGGCCAGGAGGAGGAGGAGGAGGAGGAGGAGGAGGAGGAGGAGGAGGAGGAGGAGGAGGAGGAGGAGGAGGAGGAGGAGGAGGAGTATCAACTTTCGGAGGTCCGCGCGGATTTCTTGGACCTGCGCTGGGCCTCCTCGCCTGGCGTGCGGGGGTGGCGCCCCAACGCGCGGACCTTCGAAAGCTTATGTTTATGTTTTTAGTCTCTCTCTCCCTCTCCCTCCCTCTCTCTCTACGGAGACGTCAAGGGGGGCCCAACACGCAGATCCAAGAAACCCGCGCGGACCTCCGACGGCTCCTGTTTATGTTTTTTTTGTTTTGTTTGTTGTTTTTTTTGTTTTGTTTTTTTGTTTTCTCTTTTTGCGGAGACGCCCGCGGCGGCCTCCCCGCACGGCCCACTGGGCGGGCTCGTTGGAAGACGCCTTCCCACGATCCGTGCTTGCGCGGAAGGGGTCCTAGCGGATGTTGAAAGCTTTGGCGAAGATGTCCCGCCGACTTTGGTAGCCGGCTGGGTTCCCGGGCCCCCGGTTCCGGGTTCCCGGGGGTCCTGAAGGGGTCCTAGCGGATATTGAAAGCTTTGGCGAACACGTCCCGCCGACTTTGGTAGCCGGCCGGGTTCCCGGGGGTCCTGAAGGGGTCCTAGCGGATATTGAAAGCTTTGGCGAAGACGTCCCGCCGACTTTGGTAGCCGGCCGGGTTCCCGGGTCCCCGGTTCCGGGTTCCGCGGGGGTCCTGGTTGTCGGTTCCGGGCCGCTGCCGGTACCTGCCAAAGTTTTCAGACCATCCACTGATTGGGGCTCTTCTCTGGTGTCACTCGCGACCATAACGGGCGTTGTTCGGGTCGGGCGAAAGGGGGGGATAGCAAAGGGGGGGTTTGAGAATCAGCTTATGTAGCTGATTTTCCCGGCGCCTCCCGGCGCCAGAGGCGGCTATGTATCGAGGAATGTGCCCCTCGGTGAGGCCGAAACCAGCTGCATGCAGCAAATTTCGTAACCCCCCCTTTCCCAATCCCCCCCTGTCGCCCGGCCCGAGTTATTGGGGGGGGGGGGAGGGCGGCATATCCGATCCCTATCAGAGTGGCGGATGGCCGATCCTTGCCAGAGCGGCGGATGGCTGTGGGGGCGGCGAGGGCGGAGTCCGGAGGGGAGTCGGCCCTTGGAGCAGGGTTCGCAGCAAAACTGTGTCGACTACTGGCAGGATCAGTAGGAGTGTCTTTTTTTTCCGCTGCCACAGCGGGCGTTCTGGAGGGAGAGGGGGGAGGGGCGGGAAGGGGCATCGAGTAGCGCACCCCCCCCCCCAGACTGTGGTGCTGGAGGCACTGCGGCAGTGAAGGGACGGACTGAGGGGGGGAGCGTGACGTTTTTATTGGGGGGAGGGCAAGGGGGCGTGGCGCGCGTTATGGCCCAGAGGGTACAACAAAGACCCTCTCCTCGCGGCCTGACCTGCTCGTGGCGAGCAGAGCCGCCAGCGGGGCTCCAGCCCTGGAGCTGGGCCGGGAGCCGGGGGCGATCACCCTGCGCAGTGCCTTCAGCTCGCGAGCGCAGCGCAAGGCCCTCAGACCTACCAGCCAGAAGAGGAGGAGGAGGAGGAGGAGGAGGAGGAGGAGGAAGAGGAGGAGGAGGAGGAGGAGGAGGAGGAGGAGGAGGAGGAGGATGACATTTTGCCCAGGCTGGTGCTAGCCGAGTAAACCGCCGAGCGTGTTGGATAGTGCTAGCCACTCGCGTCGCGACGCTGGCTCTCTAGCCAGGACGGCGGGCGGCTGATGCCCTCGCCAAGCTCTCAGTGCTGAGGGGTCTCTTGGCCGCTCGCGGGGCGGCTCGGGGGCCCTCTCCACTGTGCCCCTGTGAGGAGGCGCGCTTGCTGCAAAGGTGCCAATGGTCCTCCCTCCACCCCTCTCCCCACGGGGCGAAGTGGAACCCCCTGACTTCCCGCAAACAAGCAAAATGTGACACTCGCGTGCTACCGCGTCGTGGAGGTGTTCCACATGGCACCGCGCCCCCGGTTGCTTAGCGGCAGCTTCCACGGCACCGCCGTGAACAAAACGAGCGCGCGACAATGACGCCGGGGCAACGCGCGGCGCCCCCTCGGACGCCCCCCCTGTCCGGCAGGCGCGGGGCGCACCCCCCCCGCAGAGCAACAGCCGGCCCCTCCGCCCGTCCCAACCGCCAACGAGCGGAGGCCCCCGCCGGCACGGAGCCCAGGCAGCAGCTGGCTTCCAGTCCGTCCAGTGCCCCTCCCGCGCCTCCTCTGCGTCTCCACCTCCCTCCCTTCGCAAGAGGAAAACCAACAACGGCACACTCTCTCTCTCTCTCTCCCTCTCTCTTCGCAAGAGGAATGCCAAAAACGGCAGGAATCCGAAGCATCTCGGAGGTCCGCGCGCGGACCCGTGGAAGGGCTGTGTCTGTTCGGCAGGCGGCCACGGGGCTCTGAGCTGCGTGGGCCCCGAGAGCGTCGGCCAAGGCGGGCGGAATAAAAAAGCAAATCTGCGCAACATCGGTCTCTGTGGGCCCCTCCCGGGGTTTCCCGGGGGGCCCCACCCGCTGTGATCTGTCATCCCGGAGCTATGTTGGACGGTTCCGGGGCCCGAAAACGGCCCCCAGAGATCCAAAACGGCAACGCGCCTTCTCGAGCCCAGAACCTCGAACAACCTCGACCCCCCTTCCTGCTCGCGGTGTCCAGTGCCGAATCGCCTCAGACCCCTAGCCAGCTCCAAATGTATGTGCTCTTTGTCCACCTCCTTCTCTTCGTCCTTGCCCTCTGTCTGGTGACCCCGCTGAGCGATGCAACCCTCGGTCAGGGCAGCCTGCCTGCGTTTGGCAGCCCCGCTCCTCCATCCGCACGAGGCGGGCCAGCTCGAGCTGCTGCTGGTCGGCCTCGTCCATGGCGTCCTGCTCCTGCGGGAGGATACCGTGTCATAAGAAGAAGAATGCCAAAGAGAGTAATCGAAATCAAAAGAATACGACTAATAATGAGACTAACAAGGACACTGAGACCAAATACCACAACGACAATACATACATACTGAGAGTAATACGAACAAGCCAAGCGAGTCAAAACAATACGGCGAATGATGCGGACCATATGGGCAATCAACAAACGAACACACATAGCAATAATAGAAGTCGTGCCAATAGTCATATGATAAATACAGCAATCGCACGAAGACGATGACGAGACAACTGCATACACACAAACTTTTCGGAGGTTCGTGCGGACTTCCAACATCGGCGCTGGACGCCCATGGCGGCGCCTCCGGCGCCGCCCTTGGCGCGCGGAGCGCGCCAAGGAAGGGAGTCCACCGCCGACCCAAGACATCCGCGCGGACCTCCAAAATTTTGTGTTTATGCAGAAGCTGCTCTTCGTCTTCTTCTATCGACGCCCCTGCGACGTTCTCGCAGTGACCTCCCCTGCAAAGTCCCCCCATGGTTAGCCAGGAAGAGCCAGACCGCTCGCCCCACGACGCAGGCTCACAACGAGGCGTCGACTGGTGCTTTCCTTGAACCGACCCTCGGGTCCAGAAGCCTAAAGCGCCGCTTCAGACACCCGCCGTCGTGGCACCACGGTGCATCGCGGGCTCGGAAAACGATCGATTCTTCACGTGTGCATACCGTTACAGACCTGGATCATTTAAGCCTGCTCTAGGGCTGGAAAGGAAAGCTGGGCGGCCCTGCGCTGCACTGTACAGGGCAGGGGCCGTGGACCCTATACACTTATATTCATATATGCACACCTGGCCACCCATATATATATATATATATATATGGGCGCTGGCGTATCCCCGCCCCCTGAAAAATCGCAGGATGATGCAAAGCCTTTCTTTCTCTTCCTCCTCTTCCCCCTTCCTTTGGAAAGCGCCGCAAAATGATCCCATTGAGGCCTCACAGCAGGAATCTTTTGGAACACACACAAAAGGATTCTACTGGAAAGCCTCACAACAGAAATCCTTTGGAAAGCGCCACACAGGGATTCTATTGGAAAGCCTCATAGCAGGAATCCTTTGGAAAGCGCCGCAAAGGGATTCTATTCGAAAACTTCAGAATCGGACTCCTTTGGGAAGCACCACAAAGGGATTCTATTGGAGAGCCGCACAAAAAGAATCCTTTGGAAAGCGCCACACGGGGATTCTATTGGAAAGCCTCACAAAAGGAATCCTTTGGAAAGCACCACAAAGGGATTCTATTGGAAAGCCTCACAACAGAAATCCTTTGGAAAGCGCCACAAAGGGATTCTATTGGAAAGCCTCATAGCAGGAATCCTTTGGAAAGCGCCGCAAAGGGATTCTTTTCGAAAACTTCAGAATCGGACTCCTTTGGGAAGCGCCACAAAGGGATTCTGTCGGAAAGCCTCACAGCAGGAATCCTTTGGAAAGCGCCACACAGGGAATCTATTGGAAAACCTCACAAACGGAATCCTTTGGAAAGCATCACACATGAATTCGATTGGAAAGCCTCACAAAAGGAGTCCTTTTGAAAGCGCCACAGAGGGATTCTATGGGAAAACCGCACAAAGAATTCTATTGGAAAGCCGCACAAAAGGAATCCTTTGGAAATCATCACAAAGGGATTCTATTGGAAAGCCTCACACATGGAAGCCTTTGGAAAGCATCACAAAGGAATTCTATTGGAAAGCAAAACAACCAAAAAAACATTGAACAACAACAAAAAACCAAAGAAACCAAAGACCCAGGGCTGAAAAACAGAAAAAGCATTGAACAAACAAAAAAAAACAAAAAACAAAAAAAGATTTCAATACTTACTCCACCTCTCGTCCTCCTCCTCCCCCGCCTCCTCCTCCTCCTCCTCGTCCTCCTCCTCCTCGCCCCCCACTCATCAGCCCTCACCCCCCATCGTTGCCCCGCTTCTATGGGAGGAGGAGGAGGAAGAGGAGGAGGAGGAGGACCGGAGAGAGAATGGAGGAGGAGGAGGAGGAGGAGGAGGAGGAGGAGGAGGAGGAGGAGGAGGAGAAGGCAAGGGGGGGAGGGGGAGGAGGAGGAGGAGGTGGACCACTCCTCCATTCCGCTTCCCGCCTCCACTTCACTCCTCCATCCCGCTCCTCCTCCATCCCACTCTTCCTCAATTCCGCCCCCCTCCCTCCTCTCCCCCCCTCCTCCTCCTCGCAGGGCAAGGAGCGAAGGAGGAGGGAGGGGGGAGGAGGAGGACGAGGAGGAGTGAAAGTGAGGGCTAAGGGGTGGGGGGCGAGGAGGAGGAGGAGGAGGAGGAGGAGGAGGAGGAGGAAAAGGAGGAGGAGGATGAGGATGAGGAGAAGGAGGACGAGGACGAGGAGGAGAGGAGAGAGGAGGAGGAGGAGGAGGAGGAAGGAGGAGGAGGAGGAGGAGGCGGGGAGGAGGAGGACGAGAGGTGGAGTAAGTATTGAATTCGTTTTTTTTTTGTTGTTTGAATGTTTTTTTTTTTTGGGTTTTCCTCGCCCCCCAACCCTTAGCCCTCACCTTTCACTCCTCCTCGTCCTCCTCCCCCCCCTCCCTCCTCCTTCGCTCCTTGCCCTGCGAGGAGGAGGAGGGGGGGGAGGAGGGAGCGGAATTGAGGAAGAGTGGGATGGAGGAGGAGCGGGATGGAGGAGTGAAGTGGAGGCGGAGAAGCGGAATGGAGGAGTGGTCCACCTCCTCCTCCTCCCCCTCCCCCCCTTGCCTTCTTCTCCTCCTCTTCCTCCTCCTCCTCCATTCTCTCTTCGGTCCTCCTCCTCCTCCTCCTCCTCCTCCTCCCATAGAAGCGGGGCAAGGATGGGGGGTGAGGGCTGATGGGTAGGGGGCGAGGAGGAGGAGGACGAGGAGGAGGAGGAGGAGGAGGAGGAGGAGGAGGCGGGGGAGGAGGAGGACGAGAGGTGGAGTAAGTATTGATTTTTTTGTTGGCTTTTTCAATGTTTGTTTCTGAGTTTTTTCAGCCCTGGGTCTTTGGTTTCTTTGTTCTTTTTGTTCTTGTTTCAAATGTTTTTTTTTTATTGTTTTCTAATAGAATCCCTTTGTGACGCTTTCCAAAGGATTCCTTTTGTGCGGCTCTCCAATAGAATCCCTTTGTGGTGCTTTCCGAAGGATTCCTTTTGTGAGGCTTTCCCATAGAATTCCTTTGTGGCGCTTTCCAAAGGATTCCTTTTGTGCGGCTCTCCAATAGAATCCGTTTGTGGTGCTTTGCAAAGGATTCCTTTCGTGAGGCTTTCCAATAGAATCCCCGTGTGGCGCTTTCCAAAGGATTCCTTTTGTGAGGCTTTCCAATAGAATCCCCGTGTGGCGCTTTCCAAAGGATTCCTTTTGTGAGGCTTTCCAATAGAATCCCTTTGTGCGGCTTTCCAATAGAATCCCTTTGTGGTGCTTTCCAAAGGATTCCTTGTGTGAGGCTTTCCAATGGAATCCCTTTGTGGTGCTTTCCAAAGGATTCCTTTTGTGAGGCTTTCCAATAGAATCCCCGTGTGGCGCTTTCCAAAGGATTCCTTTTGTGGGGCTTTCCAATCGAATACCTTTGTGGCGCTTTCCAAAGGATTCCTTTTTTGAGGCTTTCCAATAGAATCCCTTTGTGCGGCTTTCCAATAGAATCCCTTTGTGGTGCTTGCCAAAGGAATCCTTCTGTGAGGCTTTCCAAAGGATTCTTTTGTGAGTCTTTCCAATGGATTCCGTTTGTGACGCTTTCCAATAGAATCCCTTTGTGTGCTTTCCAAAAGATTCCGATTGTGATTCTTTCCAATAGAATCCCTTAATCCTTCTGTGGCGCTTTCCAAAGGATTCTTTATGGGAGGCTTTCCGATAGAAGCCTTTTGTTGTGCCTTCCCAAGCAAGGAGTGGAAGTGCAGTGGAGTTGGATTGAGCGCTTTGCATCGCCCTGCGATTTTTCAGGGGGGCGGGGATACGCCAGCACCCACATATATATATGCTCACACCCCCTCCCAAGATCTACCTTTCCCGTGCCCTGTTCCAGTCATCCCCTCCTCCTCATCTTCCCTTCTTCATCATTTTCTTACTTCCCCTCCGTTGTCCCCCCTCCTCATCGTTCCCACTTGCGTCGTTTGCCCGTGGCGAATAATGGAGCACAAGTGAAAACCATCTATTGCACGGGGTATTTGAAGTTACCAGCGCCCCCGAACTACAGCTGACGGAAGAGAAGAAGGGGCGTAACGCTCCAGATCACCTTGGGGCGAAATGCTCCAGCCAGATGCGGGGCGAAATGCTCCAGGGGGCGGAATGCTCCAAATCACGTAGGGGCGAAATGCTCCAGCCAGATACGGGGCGAAATGCTCCAAGGGGCGTAATGCTCCAGATCACGTGGGGGCGAAATGCTCCAGATCACGCGGGGGCGAGATGCTCCAGCCAGATACGGGGCGAAATGCTCCAGGGGGCGTAAAGCTCACACCAGTCGGAGGCAAAACAATTCCAGGCCAACGAGAGACGAAATGCTCCAGGGGAGCGCAGCAATACTGTTTGATCCTTATCTTGGTCCTCCTCCACTTCCGCGGTTCGTCCCTCTGTCCTCCCCCGCCCCCTCTTATTATCCTCCAGTCTCCATCGCTCCCGCCTTCTCGCCCCTCCTTCCTCATCCACACCAACTCCTTTTGTTTGTTGCAACGCATTCTGGCCCGAGCCTGCCTCGACGCAGAACTCGCGGCGCAGCTTCCACACACCCGCGCGGCAGCAATGCCGATGATGCTCCGCCTCGCCTCCTGGTGCGCCGCCAAAGCGCAACACCCCTTCCTCAACAAGCCCAACGCCGACATGACGGCGGCGGCGGAGCAGTGGGGCGTGGTGTGCGACGGGGTAAGCGGCGTCGCGCCCCGCTTCAACCCGGAGGACCTTTCCTGGGACCTCCGGAACTGCCTCCGCTTCTTACTCCGCGAGCGGTTCCACTGGGCCTGTGACAAGCAGGAGTTCGACGCCCAGGTGGTCCGCGAGATC